CTACGAAGATCACGTCACACACAGCCCTGCTGCCCAGAGGGGAGGCCTGCTGTAGTAGTGCTGCCCGCCAGCCGCCCCGCCAGCCTCCTCGGACTCAGGGGCCGCAGGTGCCTCGGAGGCCACCCCCTCGCTGTGGTAAGGGGTCTCAAGCAGCTTTAGCACCCGCCGTACCTGAAGGAAAGCAAGGCTGAGTGGTGTCCAGAGCCATCCCTCCCGAGGACTGAAGTCAGGGACAGGTGCGTGCTCACCTCTGAGAAGTCTCCCTTCTCGGCAGCCTCGATGGCGTTCTGTGCGATGTAGTTCCTCAGGACGTACCTGGGGTTGTTGGCCCGCATCACGTGCACGTGCTCAGCCTGCCAGGCTGCAGCGTCGCCCACACCCTCCATGTCCGTGACCAGCCGTGCCCTGGAACCACACCGGGCAGGTCTCTCCTGCAGGCGCAGCCCCCGCACCCTCCCCTCCCCAAGGTGGGCTGCGGCCATGTCTGGAGGCACCAGGCGGCCCCTGAGCCCTCTGGGCATGCATGTGCCCTCACCTGTACTTCTGCAGCCAGGCGGCCCAGCGGCTACGGTTCCTGTTCTGCAGCTCGGCTGGGCTCAGCTGCTCTAGTTGGGACTGCTGCTCCACGCGCTCCAGCTCCTTTGTGACGTTGGCCCGGGTGCCGATGAGTGCAAAGAGCTGCGGGTTCGACTGTGCCAGCATCAGCATCATGGAGAGCTGCCTGTAGGGCGGCATGGATGGCCCCTTAGCCCACAGCCTCTCTGGGGTGTGTGCGCTGTGCTCTTGCCCTATAGGGAGACCCTCTAGGCAGGTGCGCCCCAGGCTGCACTGGGGGGTGACCACTCTCAGCGCCTGCCAGAGCAGCACCCTGCTCAGAAGGGCCCAGATGGGCAGTGAGGTCCTTCTCTGCCCTCCCAACTGGCTGCAGGCCCTGCTCCGCTGACTCCCCACTAAAGCCTTTTCTGTGCAACCACAGCCTGTTGTTTTTTAATCTAAAACCACAACCAGCTGACCACCAGCACCTCCTATGTCTGGGAGGGTTTCTGGAGAGCCCACAGGCCCTTCTTGGGAAGCCCAGCCTGCAGTGGGGACCACAACTCCAGCCTGGCACCTGCCTCAGCCTGTGTCAGCACTGCTCCCAAGGGGGTGGCGCCTGACTGAACCCCTGGGTGCACTTATGTGCGACCCCAGTGAGCATGTCTCTGCCTCCCCTAGATCCCTTTCTTTCTGAATATTCCTCCCTTTGTGGAAACAGATTTCAAGGAGTAAGACCAGGTTACCCACCGGGGATCCATCTGGGGTCGGAAGGCCACTTTCAGCTCCTCCAGGGAAGCACACTGGGAGGTCAGCATGGCCAGGAACTCGTCCAGGCTCGGAGACTCTGGCTCAGCTGGGAAAGAGCTCAGCAGACAGAAGGTGTTTGTGAAGTCGGCACCTGGAACGTGGCATTGCTCAGGGTGTGGGCAGGCACTGGACCCTGTACTTTCACCAGACTGGCCCACAGGCTTCCATCTACATGTGTGCTGAGCTTATCCAGCACCGGGTCCTGGGAATTCTGACCCTTCACCAGCTCCCACCCTTCCTGTAAAGTAGGTTAGTACAGAAACAGCACTGAGGGTGGTCCTGGCCCATGTTGCTATCGTCATATGGAAACAGGAGAAGCCACTGTAACATGCTTGGCACAGGGCTCAACAGATAACATGAGGTCCGTGACTTACACACTGCAATGTGCAAGGAAAATTCTAAAAAATGACCATGGGGCCAGCAGATGGCATGGTGGTTGTGGTGCTGGACTCCCACATGGCACACCGCAGTTTAAGTCCCAGACCTGGCAGCTTACTTTCTCACTTTTTTTTTCTTTTTTTTTATGGTTTTTGCCTTAGGGCATGTACACTCGCCACAGTGAATCACCCTCCAGGGCGGACAGCCACACTAATCCCTTGATTCTCCTCCTGGGATCATGGGCACACACACACATATGCTCGGCCATGTGGGAGTCCAGTGACATAACCGTTAGGCTATCTGGCCCTTCTCACTTTCTCTTTAAAAAAATAAGCACAAACAGGGACCAGCAGTTAGCGTAATGGCTATGTCGCTGGACTCCCATGTAGCCGACCGTGGTTCAAGTCCCGGACTTGGTGGCTTAAACTCACACTGGGCATGTGTGCGTGCGTGCCTAAGATCCTGAGAGGAGAACGGAGGAGAAGGGATTGTGGTGTGGCCATCCCCCCTGGGGGGTGATTTCTGGCTTTCTGTCTTTGTCTGGCGAACGCACACGCCCTATAGCAAAAAAAAAGTGTCCAGAGAGAGCTGGGGAGCTTCAGTATTAGGTCAGAGAGATTTAAGTTGAAACTTACAAGAGATGAGTACTATATATGATAAGAGTCATTCATCAAGGAAATACAAAAACTATAGATAAATACACCAAATAGTCCCAAAACATGCATTTGTAGAATTGAAGGAAAAAATAAACAATTATATAAGAGCTGGAGACTTTTTTTAAAAAGGTTTTTGCCATAGGGCGCATGCACTTGCTAGAGAGAAGGAAAGTGAAAAATCACTCCCCAGGGGGATGGCCACAGCACCATCTCTTCTCTTACATTCTCTGGATTTGGGGCACGTGTACACATGCCCGGTGTGTTTCAAGCCACTGGACTGGTACTTGAACTGTGGTTGGCGGTGTGGGAATCCAGCACCGCAACCACCACCTGCTATCCTGAGCTGGAGACTGAACACCACTCTCAGATGGTAGAACATCCAAAGGCTGATAAATACTTTATGCGTGGGGCCACCAGATTGCACATGGTTACATTGCTGGACTCACAGTGGCAACTGCAGTTTGAGGCCTGGACTGGGTGGCTTGAAACTCACCTGGGCACGTGTGTGTGTGTGTGTGTGTGTGTGTGTGCCTAAAACATGTGTGTATGTGCCTAAAATCCCAACAGGAGAATGGAGAAGGGACTGCAACATGGGCGTCCCCCCTGGTGGTGGTTTCTCACTTTCTGTCTTTCTCTGTCTCTGGTGAGAGTATGTACTCTATAGCAAAAATCTCTTAAATAAAAAGGAGGGGGGGGACAGCAGATGGCATAATGGTTACATTGCTGGACGCTGACGTGGCCAACTGTGGTTTGAGTCCCAGATCTGGAGGTATGAAACTCATGCTGAGTGCGCATGTGTGTGTGCCCAAAGTTACAAGAAGAGAATGGAAGAGAAGGAATTGTGGCATGGTCATCCCCCGGGGGGTGATTTCTCATTTTCTGTCTCTCTATCTCCCTGGTGAGTGCAGACACTCTTTAGCAAAAAACACTTTAAGAAGATTTATACTTGAATGGGACCAGCAGTTGGCATAATGGGTATGTCGCAGAATTCCCATGTAGTGGACTACGGTTCACATCCTGGACCTGGTGGCTTAAACTCACGCTGTGTGTGTGTGTGCGTGCCCAAGATTCCGAGAGGAGAATGGAGGGGAAGGGACTGCGGTGTGGCCATCCCCCCTGGGGGGTGATTTCTCACTTTCTGTCGCTCTATCTCTCTGGTGAGTGCAGACACTCTTTAGCAAAAAACACTTTAAGAAGATTTATACTTGAACAACAGTATAAATCAACTAGATTTGACACACATATGAAGTGCCTAATAAAAGAATACAGTTTTCTCAAATGCACACATGACAGTCTCCAAGGCAGAGCTTCAGTAAATTTAGTTAAGCGTGGAGAACAGCCAGTCTGAAAACATGTGGCCTGTGGGAACCAGCAGTTAGCGTAATGGCTATGTCGCTGGACTCCCACGTAGTCGACCGCGGTTCGCGTCCCGGACCCGGTGGCTTAAACTCACGCTGTGTGTGTGTGTGTGCGTGCCCAAGATCCAAAGAGGAGAATGGAGGAGAAGGGATTGCAGCTTGACCATCCCCCCTGGGGGGTGATTTCTCGCTTTCTGTCTCTATGTCTCTGTCTTTCTGGCGAGCGCACGCACCCTATAGCGAAAACCTCTCCAAAAAAAGAAAAGAAAGAAAAAAACTCATGCCAGTCATGTGTGCATGCATTCCTAAAAATCCCAGGAGAGAATGAAGGAGAAGGGATTGCAGTGTGGCCATCTCCCGGGGCGGGTAAGGAGAATGGAGAAGGGACTGCAGTGTGGCCATGGTGGGGAGGATGATTTCTCAATTTCCCTCTCTCTGTCTCTCCAGCACGTGCACATATGCCCTATGGCAAAAACCAAAACCAAAAGAACATAACACCTTAAAAATAAACTTTGGGGACAGCCTGTGATGTGGTGGTTCGGGTGGCTGGAGCCCATAAGGCCAACTGTGTAGTTCAATTTCCAGACCTGGTGGCTAGGGGACATGCAGGGCATGTCTGCATGTGTGCTCAGATGTCCCAAAGCAGGGGAGAAGTAGAGACGGGGTGCAGTGTGACCCTTTTCCATAGGCGTTGCTTTCTTGCTTTCCTTCCCTCTATCTCTGGCAAGCGTGCATGCCCTCTGACAATTTAAAAACAAAACAAAACCCCACCAACATATCAACAACCTAACTTCATGAACTAAAACAAGTAAAAATAAAAACCCAGCAAAGCAGAAAAGAAAGAAAAATAAAGACTACAGAGAGATAAATGAAATAGAGAATAGGAAAAATAATAAAGAAAAATCAGTAGGGGTTAAGAGTCCTTTGAAGTGATCAGAAAACTGGAAACCTTTAGTTAGAATGAAAAAAAGGTATGATATAGATCAGAAAGAAAAGTGGAGGTATCACTGCTGATTATACAGAAATTAAAAGAAATTACAAGAGGGACCAGCAGTTGGCGTAACGACTATATGCTGGACTCCCACGTAGTTGACTGCGGGTTCAAGTTCCAGACCTGGTGGCTTAAACTCACCCCGGGCACGTGTGCATGCGTGCCCAAGATCCCGAGAGGACAATGGAGGAGAAGGGATTGCGGCATGGCCGTCCCACCTGGAGGGGGATTTCTCGCTTTCTGTCTCTCTGCTTCTCTCTGCCTTTCTGGTGAGTGCATGCGCCCTATAGCAAAAACCTCTCCAAAAGAAAGAAAAAAATTAGGGACTAGCAGTTGGCGTAATGGCTATGTCGCTAGACTCCCACGTAGTCGACCGCGGTTCACATCCTGGACCCGGTGGCTTAAACTCACGCTGGGCGCGTGTGCGTGCGTGCCCAAGATCCCGAGAAGAGAATGGAGGAGAAGGGATTGCAGCGTGGCCATCCCCCCTGGGGGGTGATTTCTCGCTTTCTGGCGAGCGCACTGGCCCTGTAGTGAAAACCTCTCAAAAAAAAAAAAAAAATTACAAGAGAATGCTATCAAAGACACAGCATGACTCCACCCACAGGCAGTATCTAATCAAATTCAGACAACATGTGGAATGGGGGTGACTAGGGATCAGGAGAGGGAAAACAGGAGTCACTCATGTGCGGTTTTCCATCAAGCGAGTCAGCTCTAGGGCCCTGCTGGAGAGCATGGTGCCTGCCGTCCACAGTAAGGTGTTACACTCAGAACTGCTCAGAAGGTAGACAGATCCATGTTAGGCTTTCTTACCATAACCCACCAAAGCTTTTATTTATTTATTTAAATTTGACCAGAGAGGGACAGAGTGAGAGAGAGAGAGGGGGGAAAGTGAGAAAGCAAGCCGCTGGGTCCAGGGCACAAACCACGGTCAGCCCTGTGGGAGTCCAGTGCCCTTGATCACCACACCACCTGCTGGACCCCCAAAGTGTTAATTTGGCTATCAAATAACCCAGATGACATGGACAAATTCCTAGAAGTTACCAAAACTGATTCATAAGGAAATAGAAAATCTAATCAGAGCTATAATCAGGAGATTGGTTAGTAATCCAAAACCTTGCAAAGAAGAGACCAGGGTCAGAAAGGTTCACTGGTGGGGACCAGCAGTTAGTGTAATGGCTATGTTGCTGGACTCCCATGTAGCCCACCGCGGATCGCGTCCCGGACCCAGTGGCTTAAAACTCAAGCCAGGTGTGTGTGCATGCGTGCCCAAGATTCCTAGAGGAGAATGGAGGAGAAGGGATTGTGGCGTGGCCATCCCTCCTGGGGTGTGATTTCTCGCTTTCTGTCTCTCTCTCTCTGTCTAGCGAGTGCACGCGCCGTATAGCAAAAAAAACCTCTCCGAAAAAAGAAAAATAAAAAAATAAAAATAAATAAAAAAAATAAAAGAAAGAAAGAAAAGAAAGGTTCACTGGTGAGACAATGAGAGGAGGTGACACCAGTCCGTCTCAAACTGTTCTGAGAAGGTTTGAAGAGAAGGGAACGCGCCTAACTCACTGAGTCCAGCATGCCCTGATCACAAAGCCAGACACAATACAAGAAAACTATAGGCCAATACCTCTCATGAACATAGATGCAAAAATTCTCAACAAAATGCTAGCAAGCTGCATCCCGCAGCGTAAGACAGGGATTCTACAGCAGGACCAAGTAGGATTCTTCCCCAGAGTGTAAGGAGATAGGGGTGAAGGAATAAAACCAGAGGATCATCTCAGCCCACGCAGGGAAAAAAGAATTTGACAAAATTCAACATCCTTTCTCGGTAAAACATTCAATAAACTAGAAGAAAACACAATAAAGCCGGGTGTAAAAAAGCCCCCCAGCTAGCACTGTACCGATGGGGTGAGATGGAAAGCTGTTCCCTTGATCAGGAGGAAGCTGGGGTACCCACTGTCACCACGTCTACCCAGCACAGAGCAGAGTTCCCACTGGAGCAACTGGGGGCAGTGATGCAGGAAGGCAACCCCACTGACCACGCCCGACAGAGTGGGGATTCAGACACTGAGACCGGCTATAGTGTAGTGGTTAAAGGAGCCGGATACCACACGACTGACTGTGGTTCAAGGCCCAACTAGTGGCTCGAAAAACTGACCAGGTGCACAAGCACGCGTGCCCCACATCCTGACAGGACGGAGAAACGGAGAAGGCTGTGGTGTGACCATGCCCCACTGGGGACTGTTTTCCCCATCACCCTCCCTTGAGTGCTCCTGCCCTCTAGCAATTTAAAAAAAAAAAAAAAGAGGCAAAGAACTTCTGCTTGGGATCTGGAAAAGCTCTGGAGATGAGCAGTGGTGGTCACAGCGTGAGGATGGAGATGGGGAGGCTGCACATTTCACCACAAGGACACAGCCCCCGCCGTGGCGGGCGTCTCTCCACTCACCAGTCTGGTGCATGGTCTCTAGGAGCTGGTCCACCAGCGCCCTGTCCCCCTCCTGCTCCCTGTGCACGAGGCCCAACTTCCTGCGCATCTTCTGCAGGTAGTGCCTCTGGAACTCTGCATCGAACTCCTCGGCCACGATGGCTTCTCCCAGCTCCAGGGGCAGCTCTGGCTCCAGGGCCTCGGCCAGCTTCTGCAGGTTCCACTTGCACACCTCAGGCTGCTTGCTGTATGCGTAGCGCCCAGCGCTGTCAGAGGCGTTGCACACGTGCTGGGGGTCGTACCTGCACACAGGACGAGGGCTGCAGCGGTCTGCGCCCTGCCCCTGCAGTCGCCCTGGATGCCTCTGCGCACAACTGCCCTCTGTAGGGCACGGGCGCTCACAAGACAGAGAGCCAGGAACCAAGAAATCACTCCCCAGGGATGGCCACGCTGCAATCCCTTCATTCTCCTCTCGGGATTTTGGGCATGCACACATACACGCCACCTGCTGGCCCCCACAACCGCCCTTTCTAAATGCTGATTGCTGAGCTTCCTCGCTCAGTACCCTCAGGGGATTTCTGCTTTTGGCATCAGCCAACCAGGCACTGTGGAGAAATAAATGTCCCAAAGGATTACACACAGAGGACATGCTGGAAGGCCAATACTCCCTGCTCACTCTCCCCCCACCCCTAACAGTCCCTGTGCTGTGGGCTTCTCTGCCCACCCGGGCACCTATTCTGGCCAGGCAGTGGCTGACTGGGCCCAGGGAGGGCTCACCTGTCCAGGAAGCCGAAGGGCCCATAGTCAATGGTGAGGCCCACGATGCTCATGTTGTCAGTGTTGAGGACGCCGTGGCAGAAGCCCACACACTGCCACTCCGCCACTGTCCTGGCTGTGCGCCGAGTCACCTGAGGCAGGACAGGCACTGCTCACTCCCTCCTCCTGCGCCCAGCCTCCCACCCTTGGCCACCCTGTGGCTGTGCTCCTCTGAGCAGTCTCGCTTGCCGGTGGTTCCCATGGGGAAGTGTCCCCGGGTGCTCTGTGACCTCCTCAGCCATGGGACAGATAGTTCGGGTGCTCGAGGATCAGGAGGGTTGGCACATGTGAGCTCTAACCCCCACGTATATTGTCTGTCGTTAAATGCTCACCAGAGACAGCGAACCTGACATCCCAACACTCAGGCCTGGTGGGAAGGCCCCGTGGGAACAGGTAGACAAACCTGCGCTGGTCCAATGTACCCCAGGGTGTGTGCCCTCTCCCACGGGGGCTGCCGATCCTGCCCCTTCCTGGGCTTCCTGGCCAGAGAGAAAGCCGGCATGCCCTACACTGGCCAGTCTTGAGGACAGGCCCCAACCAATGGGGAGACCAGGAGCTGCATGAAGGCCTCACGCCTAGTGTCCACCAGACGCTGACCCCTCACTAACTTGAGCCTGGTGTGAGGTGCAGGCCACAGTGCTCCAGGAAGGAGGCAGCACCATCTCTCGACTTCACTGTGGGAGGATGGACGCCTGGATGACACGACCTGCCAGACCACCACCTCGCCTGCCCTCAACACAAGGCCCCCTCGCCCTCTCTGCACATCGGGCGCCCACATGCGGCTGAGGTAGGGCAGGGAATGAACAGGGATGGAAGAGCACCAACACGGCACGGCACACTTCTGCCAACTCTCGGGCTCTCAGCCTCAATGGCCCAGGGAGGGTCTGGCCCTGGCGGTCTGACCCCTCTTGGAGAAGGTGCGTTCCCTGTCTCCACTAGACACCCTCAAGGCCCTCTGACTCCCTATAACAACTTCAACGCTGTCAGACTGTGTGTGGGACGTGTGCACTGTTGGACAGGCCAGGGGCACACGTCTGACTGCACTGGGGTCGCCTGACCCGAGCTGGTGCCTTCAGCATCTGGCTCAAACCAAGACCCTAGCTCCCACCTGTGATTTCCTCCCCTGCAGGCACTCTCAGGGACACACCAGCATGGGACACACCAGCACGGGACACACCAGCACGGGGTACACCAGCACGGGACACACCAGCATGGGGACACACCAGCACGGGACACACCAGCATGGGGCACGGGGACACACCAGCAAGGGATACACCAGT